ATGCGCTACCGCAAAGACATCTGAGGTAAACCTGAGTGAGAGTCAGCCCGGAGGTTGCAGATCTGAGCGGCGTCCGGCGTAGAGGCAGAAGCTAGCAACAAAGGCCGAAGACCAAAAGCACGAATGGCAAGAACAGATGTAACGCGTTTAAGAACGCCGAAGAGACGCGCTAGAGCAAAGAAGAAGGCAAATCGCAAGGTGGTAGTATTATAGAGTTTTAAGTAGAGTTGGTCAGGAATAAGACTCACATTAAGCGAGCAGCGGTAGTGAAGACAGCCAAAGAGATGAAGAGAGAGTGTGAGCAAGCAACTGAAAAGGTAGCAGAAAGAGTTGCGAGCTTGACTTCAAAGTGCGCGACCATGACTTGCAGGAGTGTCAAGAGCAACTTCAGGCAAAGAAAATGGAGACTAAAGTCCTTTGGTTGAACCTAGCCAAGAAGAAGGAGCTGCGTACAAAGGAAGAATTGAGAATCAAAGATCTTCGGCGAGAGATTGTGGCGATGAAGACCGAGAGAATGGAACTTCGGGTAAGGATCGGGGTGCGCACTGAAGCCCACAACAAAGAGTTGCAACTTGCGAATGAGCTTATGGCAAGTTTGGCGGAGCAGATGAAGAAGCATGAAGTTGAATTGGCTAGTTGGGCTACAAAATTGATGGCCAAGTCTTCGGAGATCAAATGTAGAGTAAAATTGGATGCTATCGGCTGCGAGAGCAGTTGAAGGCAATTATAGAGCAGTTAGAGACGTCGCAGACTAGAGCGGAAGCGGCGGAATTGGCATTTCGACAACTGAAGGAGGAGAGGACTGACAGTTTGCGTCTGCGCGTTGAGAAGTGTATGTGCGGTTTTGTTATGGGGGAAGTCCAAACTTTGAAATGGCTAAAATTGGATTTGCTGGAGCGGCGATTTTTGGAACTCGAGATCAACAGATCCGTCGGACATCGGTAGTTAGTTAGATTAGTCAATTTTTTCTCTTCCGGATTAGAAGAAGCGCGAGAGAACTTAGAGATAGAAATTTTATGCGTGTTGCGTAGATTAGGAGAGGACGGAAACTAAGAGGACGTTGTAACTGCTGCGTCAGATGGCATTGCGCCTGAAAGTAGCTCACCTCGGGCGGTTGAGATGTCTAGGAGTTCAGAGTGAATAAAGAAACCCAAGGCTTTTTCCTTTGGGAGCTTTTTGTCAATTGTTTCGTCTCGGCTGTCAACCTGTGTCTATCATACGTGTTTGTAAAGTTGTGTGTTTCGTCACCATGCATATTGCGCTTCAGTTTGTTGAAGCTACCGCTCCTGAAGCTGCGAGTGTCTGATTCGGATGTTCCGAGTGTGCCTGCGGCTATTCGGTATTTAAGCAAGTTTGAGTTCAGATATTCGTGACAGTGGGCTGAGAGTGAGCAATTCCGAGAACTTTTTCCCCTAAATTTTGAGTGTGGGGTCGGATACGATTCTTGTAGGCTTTGATTGGACAAATTTCAGATTGTGTGTGATTATACTCTGCTCTTTGGACCTTTGGCCATAATCAAGCAGTGTCTTCTGGGAGTGACATGTGTTTGAGGAGTAAAACTCCTCAATAGAATGTTAACTAGTGACAATTCTTGACTCTTTGGTGTTGCTTCTATCTCCGTGGAAACGTCTTTGTACCATTATGCTCCATTTTGGTATTTGTTTGTTATCACAAGCGCACGAGGCCAGACACAGGTGAGCTAGGCCGCGGGGAGACGTGGAGAGGTCGTCAAGCAAGTCAGACACGCGCATGCAAGGATTGATACCGCGTTGGCACGTGTGGCCTCTTGTGGGCGTCATGTTATTCTCACAATGCTATCACATCATCCTTCCATTTTGTCACGTCCGTCTACGAGTGCCATGTTGCTACCTCCAAACACCACGTCAACCTCTAAACGCACAAGATGCTGACACGTGACTACATCACGTAGGCACAAATAGGCCACACAGGTGGAGAAAGCACAAGGATCCAACTTGTGAGAAACAACAAAACAAATGATATGGTGTTGTTATATTGCTAGTTTACACTTGGTTGGACGACATGCCACATAGACGCGAATGATACATGCGAGACGTCATGTAGACGGAGCAAGAAGATCAAATTGGCGTGGACAAAAACACATGATATGCAGAGAACAAGTTAAGTGTGTAGGATCTACGTCAAGCTGTTACATGAGAGGATACGCGGCGGGCAGCAAGACTATGGCTGGCGGCGAGAAGTTCAACCACATTCGGACAACGTGGACAATTGCGGGCACATTTGAGGAGCTTTTGAGAAATTGTGCGCAAGTTTTGGAAATATTTTGTTCAAATTTTCCGTCCGTCAAGAATATTTCATCCAAAGAAATATTCAATCCAATAAATATTTTGTCCGCTTGAATCTTCGCTATAATATAGGCAAATTGGATATCTTTGGAGAATTTTCTACCTAATGCATCTAGGTACTTTGAAAAGCCTAGTAATTGATGATGGAGAAGGAAAAAATTGCCACAAAAATTAACTATGATAATTAAATTTGTTGTCGGATAGAGATGACATTTAGACAAGTTAGGGTATCATGCATTGATTGATTCTAAGTGAGTCTTGTTATGTTTCAGATCGATGTGGTTACAACTGTTTTCTATAAATATTTAAGGACTATTTTCTATAGACATTTAGAGTATAAAATCTACATGAGACAATCGGTTGACTTTGAGACAAAATCCCAAGAAAGATTGATTTGTAAATTGTTGAAATCATTGTTTGGATTGAAGAAAATTGCTAGGTAGTGGAACACGCAATTTAATGAATTCATGAAGACGCAAGGATTATTACGAAATGTGTATGATACAAGTATCTTCATGAAGAATATGAATGATAAGATTGAGTATGAGGCGGCAGCAGAAGCGACATAGGAAGCTATATGGTTGGACAGGCTTATCCTGTATATACAATTCACACATGACATTGTCTATCTTCATTGTGATAACCAGAGTGCTCCACATTTTTCTGGAAATCAAGTTATGAAAAGTAGAGTGAAGCTCACTCTAACTAATGTGTTGACCAAAGTTATACCTTAAGTTTCATTGTGCAAACTCTATCAGTGCATTTGGAGCACAAATAGAGTTTGCTAGCATGGTATATTTAGTTATATCTTTATATAGTTATTCTATTACACAGATTACTATTTCCTCTATGCTAGCAAGTTTATTAGTTAATTCTTCATATTATTACTCTATTATATTATGACTACAATTTAATTCTAGTTAATTCCGGTTGACAAGAAGTGAATTGTGTTAGGTCTCTTTCTAGAATTTTGAGCAGAGTAGTATAGATTACGGAGGTTAGTGTTTACTTCACATGAGTTAAGTGGGAGAAGTGACTTATAAAGCTATGCGTTTGTCTTAGACTTTGCCCTGGTGGAGATGCCTAAATTGATCCTTGGTGTACTTCTGGTGGCAATTAGAATTATTGAAGGTTGAAATAAGCTAATCATTGTTATCGAGATTGGCATAATGTCCTGAAGTCTTAACACTCAAAGACTTTCTTGCAAGAAAGTTTGAGAGTGTCATTCATACTCTAGAGAGACCAGAAAATCCTGGACCTATGGCAAGGTGATTGTCACAACGAGCCAGTGAGTGCTTTCCAAATCTACCCCATCAGATCACTGAAAACGTTCTGGTCAAGGTAGTATAATATCAGTGGATTGCAATTTTGTTAGCTATTTTTACAGGCGTCTTCTGCTGTGTCTTCTAGTGGGTTCCTTGATTTCAGTCTCGTCTAAGTTGTTTCCCACGAATCCGAAGGGAGAGAGGATTCAATCCCACAAGGTGTAAACTATGACTCCAATCAAAGGATGGCCCTTGCAGTGTCTTTTGAGACGGACTGTGCCCACTGCCTACATTTGTCTTTACTGCTGTATCTCTTACGACTGCAACATCGTTGTTCACTCTTCAAAAGGGATTTCGGCTTGTAAGGGTCGGAATCATTACCATGTACACAACTGACAGGTCGAGGTAATAAGTCAGTGCAACCTGCTGAGGTGTATTTGGCCTACGGATCCGATGGCTAACATTCCTAGCCCTCATCAGTGCTATTAGAGAGTCTAAAGTCAAGGTCAACAATCTAGGGAAGATGTTATCCAACATATACATGTAAAGGCGTTTGACTCAGGTTTACAACCGCTAGTATGTCAATCTGCACCATGATATCGATAGAACTCGAATTTGAGCAAGTCATCTATGAACCCCCTATTCAATATTAGCTGCTCATTGTTCCACCAGACATTCTCATCATTCCACCAGACATTCTGAGGACTCAAGTTCTTACTTGAAACGGTTTAGTTAATTCTACTTGGCTAAACATACATGGAACATGTTATCGTTCACCAAAACCTATAGCTTAGACCAGAAAACAGATTACCAGCCATAGTTGGCCACAAGACCGGCCCGATAATAGTGCATATCCCTGCAATTGGAACACAGATCTACATATTAAACACGTGACTGTTAACGACCCGGGGATCACATGGCTGGGAAGTCCTCATCCAGCCGTACGCGTAACATCCATAATTACCACAAGCGCAACGATACTTTCATAGGTAATTTCGGCATCTCCCCTTCATCTCCCCTCATATTTTTTTTCCCTTCATGGCCTGCTGCCGCCTCCCATTTCCTCTTAGGCCTAAAGTCAGCCAAAATTGCCATACACCGGGTAATCAAGGCCTCTTTGCAGGAAACACTTCCTGCCGACACGCTTCTCTAAGTGGGTCTGTAAGTACACACGCAACGGTGATAGGTTAGAGACTTCCACAGTGTCGGTATCGGATGCGTGTTTTATTCTGACGGATAAGAATTTCATTATCTGATGTGATGGTGCTTCCTGAAATCATGTGATTACCGTGAAGACTTGAAATCGTACTGCCCTGAACCAGCTGAAGATCTTGCAAACTCGAGGGTCCCTGATCCCAGTCCCAGAAAGTTTGCCGCATCAAATATAGGAACCACAGAAGAGTGATATTTTCATTGGAGCTTTTTGATTTGAAGTGAATATTTTACATTCAGGTCATGTAAACAGCGGACACGATCTCCTCCTCTCTTCAATGACCTGACGAAGGCGCTAACTTCACCTTCGAGGGCATAAACCATCTTAAATATCCGAACACTGTCCAGCGCTTTCACAGCTACTGCCTTGAAGTAAATCTTTGTTGACAGGGTAAGGCCCACTATTCAGATGTTTCTTCATGCGGCTACACGCAGAAAAATGCAATGTACCAAAATATTCCTAGAAACCTCAGCACTTTTACATCTACAGACGTTAAGAGTATATACAGGGTTAGGGTGAGAGACTGCAGAGACTTGGATGTGCTTGTCTCATGCGTCCATTGTGTTAATCTCGTTCAGTAACTTTCGAAGTATCTGTGTTCAGAAAATATTTACTGGTCAAGAAATGCGCCACCCTTCTCTTTCTTTGAGAGATTTACTTCCAAGGTTATTTCCCTCAGCTCCTTAGTAGACTTCTGTGCATCATCGACGACTAAACCATCGACATCCTCTTTCACCTTCGGAATTATCACCTCGTCTGCCCCTCCTTCCGTGGTCTGGACAACTTGACCGTCATTGGCCAAAGGTTTACCCCTTGTCCAACGGTAAATCATTTCCAACGAATTCTTCGGTTGATCCATAGGCACCATGTGTCCGGCATTGTGCACCTTCAAATTCAGCAAATTTGGGTCAGCTCGAAGTTTCACGTTATCTATATGTAGATTAAAAATAAGCCGTAAGAAAATCATCTGCTAGTAAATCCACTAGTTTCCGCCACATGGATCATACCTTCATGAAATTTAGAGGCCCGTATCCAGTTACAGATCCCGCTTCTACACCATCCACATTGAAAGGCTTCCAACCAGCTTTCGCATACTCAATCTGCCCAGACCAGTCCATGGCCGTGACCCATCTTGAATTTCCTGAACATGCAATACATACTGTTATACTTGCTGCATTGGGTAGGTCACAACGAAAGTGGACGAACTAGAACAAGTGCTATCTTACGAAAACGAACAAAACTCAAAAAGCTAATCTCAAGCTCGTAGCTAATCTGGATAGGATTTCAGTGGACAAAATATCCAAGACTGTTGCAAGAAACATCAACAACAGACATCTGAAGTCATGTCGTACCAAGCCAATTGCAGATAAGGTCGTATTCTCCTGCATAGACAAGTAGCTTTACTCCATCCTCTAAAAGAGATGGAATACCAACTTCCAAATTGCGCATCCAATCGACGATCATAGCTTCATACACGAGGGGACTGCAAGAAACAAACTTGCGATCTCCTACTCCTAAGGCGTCTCGTACGGACTCCTGGTTCAAATATGCCTCCAGGTTTGAAAAGTCGTAGCAAAGTTCGCCTACGCATTCCTTCCGGATGTCGTAGTACTGTACAGTATTGGAAGCAAACGTCAGAACAATTGTTGTTAGGACGACCTGCCACATTTAAAGACTCGGAGCAAAATTATTTTCCCACTGTTTTCACTCGCGCTCTGACGTGCAAACCATTTTGGTCATTGTTCACAAGTCTACTTACGTTGATATTCCCGGCAATGGACAAGATGGAGTTGAAGAGGCTGTTGCAGACTAAGTAGGCAGCAATGCAAGTGAACGTCCCCTTACTACCTGTAGAAGATACAAAATAATGACATAGTCAGTTCTTTTGACGGGATGATTGGCTAGCAGAAATCGAAACTAAGACCAAGAAATTTATTGACATGATCAACTGTAATGAACCATTTCAGTAACCAAGATACATATTACACATAGCAGCTGCATGTACACGATTACGTGCCAAGGACGAAATTATTGCCTCCTCTAGAATGGCAATAACTACGAGGAAGTCGTTGACAAATGATTAACTTACCGCACATCTTGATAGAAGTAGCACAGGCAGGGTAGATTTTGTTCAGACGCTTGTAGTCCTCATTGCTAATAAGGCCATTGTCTAGTGCGTAATCCGCATAGGCTTCATACTGAAGATCTGGTTGTGTAAGACCATTCCCAATGGCAAAGCCCTGTTCATACTCACATACAGTTCGCATCAGGAGTAGTATAAAGGTTACAACCATTCCAGTTCCTCTTACTTAACTAATCACATGTAGCTATCACCAAAGGAATCTGTCAAAACTAAGAATGTACCTTCATGTTGATGTGGATCCCGTTTCCGGCTTTATTACCGCTGTGGATACGAGCCGCAACAGCTGGAACATAGTGTCCGGCATAAGATTCCCCTGTGACGAAGAAATCGTTTTTCTTGAACTGAGGATGTTCTTCATAGAAGGCCTGCAAAATGTGCTCGGTTACTGCACTGGATACTCTGACAGGGAATACATCTCGAAAATGTGCATCTGAGCTTTCGTATACTAGAAAACAAAATGGTGACATGCGTGCTGTAATCAAAGAGTACAGTAACGAGAAGTATTGATTGTCCAAGACATGTGTCTATGCCATACTTCTTGGCACCTTTACAACTGTGATTCAAAAATGCGGATGTGAAAAAGCAATTATTTTCCGCAGCCGAGGTGGTCATGTGAAACTCCCCTTGAACTGACATGCTTAATGTAACCCACCTGGAAAAAGTCGTACATGTCCTCGCTAACACCGTCCTCGTCATGTCGCAAGTCACGAATATCTGGACTATAACTGAACCCAGTTCCAATAGGCTGGTCGACAAAGATGATATTGGATATCTGAAAGAGAAAAAATTCAAGAACTTCCAGCGTGAAAATACTAGTAAGGATTCCACGTTACGATTAAGACAATTTAGAAAAAACATGCATGGACACGATCATTCCGTAAATTGTCCGAAGATTTATCGTGTCACTTCCTTGCTCAAATCAAAGGTAGCATCGAAGAATGATCGCATCTCCACATGATATAAATCTGACAGGTCTAGCACGGATACCTTGTCCCAACCATAGTCGTTCCAAACTAGGCTCAAGTTGTTAGCTATCTTGAACGGTCCATTCTCGTAAAACAGAGCAAGTTCACTGGCACAACCAGGACCTCCGGTCATCCACAGCACAACGGGATCGTTTGCTTTGTCGCCTCTTGACTCGAAGAAGAAATAGAACATCCTGTATCACAAAGCACTGTGTGAGCAATTTTTGTATCCATTGTAAACACCGGCAGAGCAAGCAAAACCGATAGGTAACATGCGTCGAGCTATTATATTATGTAAAAACGTCTAAATAGGAAAAGCCTGGATTCTTGAGTTGCATGCAGCTCACAAGAACCATGGAGGTCTCCATATAACAAAAACTATTACAAAGACTGGCACACACGAGTTCCGTACTGACGAACGCCACTCTTGATGGACGATAAGTAAGCCTTAGACACGTAGAATACGAAAGCTGAATCGACAACACATCGAGGTCAACGGGAAAGAGCTGAATTGCTCCCAAATTTCAAGCCAGATGTTTACATTAGAGAGAAATATGGCTTCCAGGATGCCAGACTAACGTGAATCACGCTAGCACTAATGCAGCATCAAGCTTTCACACGCATCACACAGGTAAACAAACACAGAGATGGCACAGAAGCCGGCCTTCCCAAACTTACTTGGAAGCATGAGTTCGTGGCAGCTTGAAGTAACCCGCATACTGTCCAATTTCCTCTGGTGCAATGCCGGACTCTCCTTTGACATTCAACTTTAACTCCTTTTCCACAATTCGCTTCCCGTTGTCTTCCAAATTCACACCACCTTCGGAAACTCCGGGAATCAAATTGAGCGCCTTGATCATCCGCTCTGCCTGCCCTAGCGGATATCTACGGTTCGAGCCTGGTCGAGAATCAAGATACTTCGGCTTCCATGCTGCAGAATTTCCACAGCAAAACGAACTACCTACGATACCACAAATCAACAAAGCCTGCAGGATTTCTGCTCTACGCGGTGCCATCACGACCTCCCCCAATCAGTGCTTCAATGTCGCCACTGTGAAACTCCAAGCTCCCTCAGCTGCTTCTCGCTCCCTCGCTCTCTCTCTCCCTCAACTTCTCTCGTCTCGTCCTGTCTCGTCTTCGCTCCTCTTCCGTTAAGCAAATGAACTATGAACTCCGTAAACGGATCCCCTGTGCTTCTTTGCACAATTCAGTGCCGCCCACGTCCCGCTACCTCTTGATCCGCTCTCGATCTTTAAGGACCACCTCTGTACCTACAGGTAGGACAATTAACTGTACGTCCTCAACAGGCGCAGGGAGGAGTGAAGGCCACTTCTAGCACCGAATCGAAATCTTATCGAACATCGTACAACGGGAGTCGTCGATTTGGGATCCTGGAGCATGTCCGTCCCTCAAGTAGCGGACCGCCTGTTCCGATAGGTACTGTCTCGGCCAGCACGATGGGTCGATGACTTACAATGCTCAAATACAGGAACAAGGGCCGCCGGATTGCCGTTCCGGAGACCCGACCCTGCGACGCCAAATGTAGGCCACCTAGTTCCGACACAGTCTTGTCACGAGTTCAGCGCCGTGCGATCTCTCTGTCACAGTCAAGAGATACCAATCGGACGGCAAGAAAAATATCCACATCTGAAAAGGCCAAGTTCTTCTGATCCGGCCCCGGAGACAAACTTGAAAAGATCTTTCCACCCACTTTACGAAGCGAGATTCTCGGGGCAGGACTGGGTTGAATATTAGGGGAGTCATTATTCGCAACGAGTTCCCTTCACAAGGGTAGGGCCGTCGAATGATAAAGAATTCCTAGCTGGATTGCAAAGCTAGTCATTTGCATAGCTAACATGGACTGGGGCCAAGTCATGTAGCAAAATAGGTGGGAACAGCCTTTTGGAGAGCTAGAAGGAAAAGTTAGCAAGCGTTGTCTTCACTCCCAAATTAGTTGCTCTCCTCCGTGGGGCTCGTATCACTTTATCGAATCTGAATCACCAATTCAATTATATCAGAAAATCGAATGCCTCTGCTCCGCAATCTGACTGCTTGCGCGGCAGCTCGTCAATGGGAGTGTTCAGCAGCTAAAATGTGATCGCTTTTGCCCCGTAGAATCTCATAGGCAAGAGATAATCTCACCCAAACTATGGCAGGAGCGATTGCGATTGGTACTCACGGGACAAAGTATTATAAATGACTGTTCCGATGATCAACTAATGAACTGTTGTTGGAAAAGAGTCTCCTCAATTCGACTATGTGGAGGTCCAGTTCGAATTCACAACTCTCCGTTACATAGGAACCTAAGATGTTACACCACCCTAGATACGAACAAGACCTCCACATCGAACTCGTGAATAAAACAGTAATTCGATTTTATACGCAAAGAAGATTCATTCTGAACTTACTTGCGTATGGCTCACCCTTTGAATCATGTGTACTAAGAGTCTTCGCTTACTACTATACCATATCGTATGTCAGATTCCGGACTAGAGTCTGGAGGAAGGGTAGGAGCAGCAGTGAGCCAATGACACGTGAAGGATGTTGTTCCTGCACAAAAGGGAAAGGTGAGCAACGCCCTTCTTCCTCTGGTGGGACGCGTCACAAATGTCTTGGGCGTTAGTCTGAGCGACTCACATGCCAACACCTCCCGCGGTGGGACCCTTCCGGAAGTCGGTCTTTCGACGTTGAAAGCTCAATCATAGACCCAACGTCGAAATCGTGAAACATCCCGGCCCGGCGGCTGCTGCCTTCTTTGTCTTGAAAGGAATGAAAGCGAAAGATGTTCTTGTAACCTCGACCGCACGATAAGTTGTAAGAGTCTTGGCTTCGAAGTGGGTTTCTTGCTCTAGCTTCTCTTGTTGCGCATGGGCGAGAGATGTCATCCGGTGCGAGGCATGCATTTCCTCGGATTCTCTGTATCCTGTAGAGTTGTCAATTGCCTAGATCGTCGTACATTGGCCTATTGCAGGAGCAACGTGAAGCACAGAGGCGTCTCGTGGAAGTCAGCACCGGAAGTTTCTGTAACTGAGTGATTGTAACTGGACTAGTGCAGGTTTATTGTCCTCTCTCAATTTATACTCCTGGCTTGGGATGGGGCTTTCTCCATTTATTTTAGCTTGTAAGATGGTGTACACTACGTTCCTGCAACGATACTGGCTTGGTGGTTTAGGAAGATACCGGATACTGAGAAACTTCATAAGTGAGTAATGTATTTGACATAATCTAATCGCTGACAAAGGATTTGACTGTTAGGTCTGAGGCGACCAATGTTCTCTTTGTTTGTTTAGACTTCGTAACGATACCAGACGAAATGACTTAAATGAGCCGACGTTTGATACTGACTTGACGATGGCTAGTAGAGTATCAGTACGGTTGGATTTGCCGAATTTGGCCCACCCGATAATCGTAAAACACTCAGTACAAATTTTGGGAGCGATTGGACAACTCATGGAGTCACTTACCGATGAGTGCAGAAGCAAGTTGGCAAACATCCGCTGTTCTGTACAGGTGAACCTAACCATGAATTGACATGATTGAGATAAAGGTTGGTACTCGCAGACTTTCCATTCAAAAAAGTGGTATGGAAGACCCATGGAATAAATTTTGAAAGTAAATCCAGTAGTATACCGAAAAAGGGTGAAAACACCCAATGAAGAGGTATAAACCAAAGGGGACGAGAGTCCTGTACACTAATAGAATAGCATCGCATTGGGAATATGTTCTCACTAAGTATCCACAGAAGCATATTCTATTTGTACTAGCGCCCTAAATTCAATTCATACTGCAGTTTCTGCAGATTTTCACCAAGAAGCATATTCTTAAATGATTTATGTGGACTGTACAATCTATTTTTTTATATAAAAAATAAAAATAGATTGCTTCATATTATTGACGCACGCTACGAAGTCATATGCATGTTGCCTAGTTTAACTGATAATCATGCACTTTTTCACAAAAGAGACAATAGAATCCACAGATGCATATAACTCCAAGACCAGAAGAACAAAGAGAGATACTTGATTATTATTTCTCTACTTTTCTTCTAGCATGATGAACAATAATCTACTCTATAGTATGTAGGGAGTTTAATCATAGTTTTATTAATAATCTGGTTTTATTCTATAAATATAGCCTTTGAACAAACAAGGGTGTGAATTAATCAGACCTAAATCACAATCTCTATAGCTTTAAATAAATATTTCTAAATCAGAATCATCTGGCGGATCTACATTCAGAAATTAGTTTGATATGAAAGTTGTTAGGATTGAGTATCCAGCCAAAAAAGATAAAGGTAATCGAAACTCCATCACTAATAATTCTATTTTTTCAAATTCAATTGACATGCTTAATTATTTCTACATCATATATTCAAATATAAAAAAAATTGGTATTTCAATAGATCATTTTGAATATTTACAAAGTGAAACAAAATTACAAAATGACAATCAGAAATTAACATGAAATAAAATATGTTGAGAATGCACAATCAGCAGAAAAATTATTTAGATCACCTGATCATCATCGATAATAAAACTTTATTCCTACAAAAAATTGGAAAAAATAAATATTTAACATCGTTTATTAAGAAGTAAGTAAAAGATATATCATCAATCATAACCAAGCTGTTTTTGCTAAGAATTACATCATCAATGACATCTGAATAGAGCATTAAAATAGAGCATATATAATCTTCAGTACTGTTTTAAATTATCTTTATATACATTATTATATATTTAATCTATACTACTCTATGTTATCTTTTATTGTAAAAATGTAATATTCAATCATTCTTGTATTTTAACGACTTATATGCTATTTTTCATGTTATGAATATATGTTAACTTTGCTAGATTATATCAAAATATCATCTTCAATAATATTTTGAATTTTTGAAAGAAAATTAAATTTTTTATAAATGATCTCAAATTTGTATGTTATCCTTTGAATTTATATAAAATGTGAATTATTGCTAAATAAATGTCACATATAACATTTAATTGACAAAATAATCAACGTAAAAGTCACACAATCATTTGTAGCATACATTTATAAAATTTGATAATTGAACAGTGTATCAAATGCTTAATAATTTGATAAAAATAGCAATATAAAAATAAAGCCTTTATATAATATTTGTAAAAAAGTACTCAAAATTGATTCACAAAACAATTCATACAAAACTCTACATTATCAACACAAATCTTGTTGATGTTAGATTATGTTTGACCATCAATGCTCCAATTAATCAAAAATTTATATCTATGCAAATGAAATGTGATAATATTTTGCAATTTGATTTGACTTGAATGCCAACATTAAAAAAATTGATATTTGATAATATCATCTCACACAATCTTTTGATTTGGATCATTTCAAATTACAACATCATTATGCTTTTAAATTTATTCTAATAAATTTCAATACAGTATTAAAAAGTATATTTTAATAATTATCATATCATTCATTTTTTGACATTAGATGGTTAGCATTTTGGTAATAAAACATATTTGTTTTTCCCTTCTAATCAATGAATTGACATGAAATAACAAAATGAACTACCAATATTTTTTTATTTGAAAGCAAATCATTTATACTAATCCCATAAAAATATGTGTGAGATTTTTTATGTATAAATATTAAAACAATAAATTGACAAAAATCAAAGTACTTTGAAGCTTTAAAAAAATTTTCCAAATATTTTTATTTTATTTTATTTTTTCACTTATAAATGAATGTTTAAGGCACAAACATTTTCTAATTGTTATTAGCCAAAAAAAGGATAAATGGTTTATGAAGCTTTATTGTGCTCTAGCACAAAATATTGTTGAACACTTTTTAGGTCACAATATGTTTTTGACCTAATGCAAATTTTGTGATGTACTATATATTGCATATGATTTTGACTATACATATGTTTGCAGTAGTATCATGTGATTATCATCTGCTTCTTAATGATTATTTTTCATGCACACTCAATTTTGTCATGTCATTTTTGCACTCATCAATAATATCTTTGAGTGCCTTACGACTTAATTCAAAGTGTAGCATGTAATTTGTAGGTCAGAATCTACTATCGGGTTTCAAACTTTGATGGATGATCTTAGTCATCATTTGTACTTTTCTTTGATTGCATTGTTCTAAAATTTGTGTACAAGTCGTATTGATCTTACACCTCTTGTTGACTAAGGCACAGATATTGGTGATTGCATTATACAATATCTTATCTAAAGTTAGAGAGATATTTATGCATGTGTTTTGAGATCTCAAACATGTAAATAGGCGACTTTACAAGAGAATTAATTACGCTATTGATTCTCTCTGCTCAACGTTCCTTTTATGCTTCATTCATCTTCCATATTTCTGTTTTTCATTGAAATTGTTGAATTTCATACGATTTGAACAAGGTTACGTTTTCACATTAGATAAATTTAAGAGTGTATTGGTAGAAATTCGTATCCATAAAGAATACAAAATGGATGCATACGAACTATCGAAGTTGATTGATTGTATTTAATACGTTTCAGAAGTAAAGTTAACTCAACTTTCAAGAACACAGTCCTTACAAGAAGACGAAGGTTCGAGAACGTCAACAGGTAGCACGTAATATTTGTGTGTCGCAGTTACCATGGAACGAGAACACAGTTTCTTCATCCATCCTTTACTTACACATGTTACTATATCATAATTGTTTTTATTTGTAAAGTTGTCTTTTCAACAAATTTTTTGAAAATTATCTGATCACAGCCCACATTACAAAATTTTAGGCTACTCCAAGTTCTGACACCTGTCGTGAGTTACCTTGAATGCATAACTCATTCAACATTTAATCATAGCACTCATGTGTGTTAAACATGGATATCCCTCAAATCGAAGAGGCTCAAATAAATTGAGTCATCTTATCCACATTCCTCTCATAGTGACCATCATTTCTCATCCAGCAGATATAACATACACGTTTTCTTATTGCTCAATTTTCTTATGTTGATGAATGTTTTATTCTTCATGAATGTGGTGACACATACATGAAGAATATATCAAAAAAATAAAAATAAAAAAATTGCAATGTTATTTATAACATTTTTCGAGATAGTAATCATGTAATGTTAAAAGAGTGATGGTACGTACTTCCATTTTTACAACCACGGGTGTTGATCTCCACATGGAAGATTGAGGTGTTGTCTTAACTAAACCCACTCGAGATCCGCTAAGATCCACAAAGTGCCTACTACTTCCGTGTGAATGACAGCTTCATGCACTTGCACTGGAGATGCTAAACGCTAAATGTTTCACTGTTAGTGACATGCTTAACTGGTGTTCACTGGTGATTCACACGTTTTCCAACTACTCCATCATTTGCACGTTCTACTTTGGATCAACCTTTCATTGCGTGGCAATCAGACTAGGCAACATTGAACACCGCCTTTGAGTTCCCATCTCAACTTCGGGTACAATGTACCGTGAGTGGTATTGGTGGAAATTCGGACCTCAACCCCTGAAGAGTTCAAGATGAGGTTCAAGATGGACTAGAATTCTAGTCCGTCTTGAATTGCGATGACCGAATTGCCTATATTGCCTTGGGTTGCCTTGAGTTCGTTGTATCCCAGTAAATGTCCCATACGGACACTGGTTAACACTAACAAATGCATCTGCATTTTCAACAAGGGAGCTTTAAAGGTAACCAAACTTTTGGACTCGCCATGACTCTTTTACCAGTGCATCGAGACGATTATATTTCGTGATGAAGGCTCAGGTAATTTGAGGATAGACACGAGGAAGCGCTTACTCGATCGAGACGCCAATCTGCAATCTTCACTGAAGCTAGCTGAAGTTTTGAAGATTCACACCCTGTAGACTAACGAGTGCAGTTCTTCACTGTTTTCCATTCGTTCAAGGGTATCAAAGTCAGCTGATGTAAATCTCATAAATGATCAGTAAAAAAAAAATCTGGATCCACCACGGTCAAACTGCTGATGCCGACTTTACAATAAAATGCATGGGGCTCCAACCATATGCAAACGTCACTGACATGTGGAGTCTTGCGAAGTTCATCGCCATTATCTGTCCCTCCACAGGATTTCCAGAAGTTAGAGCAAATTAATAAGGCTTCTACAGGCATGCATTTATTTAAATCAGTAGATCCAAACGACGTTAGCAAACAAAAGGTTAGCAACTTTGTGCAGGGGGGAAAATGTCTTGCTACATGGAAGAAAATCGATCGCAATAGCATGATTCTTCAGTATGACACAAAGCTTCCGCGCACGAGTGTAAATGAGAATTCCTACTTCCCTATTCACAGGTATGTAATCGAAGAGGAAAAGTATTATCAATAAATCAATCCGAAATTCAAAAAGAATAAACCACCAGCTGCTATGTCAGCCCAGCAGAAATATCACGTGTCATGTTGAAGTCAGATACGTAGAGTCCCGGAAAGAGAAGCTGAGCTCGAATTTCTTCAGCTAGCTCGTCCGATCCTTCAATAAATGCCCAAGTGAACTTCCAAAAACGATACTGGATGTATCCTTGGGAGCTGTAGGTATCATGTCTTGCCAAATATAAGAACAAATTACACGTCTCATCTATTTGTTTTCGACTCAATTGTCGTGATGTGGTGGTCAGAAAGACTGGTAGGATTGATAACTGCAATATTTATACAGAGTTGGTTTCTCAACATTTTCTGTAAGCAAGCGAGCTAAGCACATAAGGACAAGAAATGGTAGCCTGACAAGCCTTTACTTGGATGATGTAGAATCAATCGTCCCTCTTGTCTTAAGTGTGATTACATTTATGGGCAAACTTTACAAATAACTTGCAGATAAAAGTGACAGCTTGAAGAGCTGGCATGAAAACGTGGGCACGACACAAACACGCACACCAGCCGCACATGTTTACTCTTTTTGGAGGGACACAGGCTGAAGGTTTGAGAGCTGTAGACAATGGTGGACCTGATCCTTATAGTAGAAGGTCTGCACTAGAAAGTAGAAAGCTATGACGTTTATTTCCCCAAGGATGCAAGAGGTGAATGGTATCCGAAATCACGTAGCCCTCGTCTCCTTCTTTCCTATCTGTACCATCCTTCTTAAGTCTTGGTCCTTCTCAGACACTGTGGCTGTTGACCTCTGGTGTTTTAGAGAGAAAACCTTGCCTCGCATGACAACACTTAAGGGCTGCTTGTCAAAGTTGACAAACCAACAGAGGTACCTTTGTGCACCCTGGCTTTTCCTGGGGTTTCCAAAGGTGCACCTTAATATACAATCGCGTTCACAGGGAAGTAACCCGCTTAGCATGGCCTCAAAGTCTTCACACAGTAACTGCCAAGTAATATGGAAATTAGGGAATAAGGAGGGAAACAAGTGGCAGAACAGGTATGAGATTTACTTCGGGATCGAGGGAATTGACATGTCTGAAGCATGATCACTATCAGATGCACCTCCCTCGTCACCCTCCACATCGGTCATTACATCTTGAGCGCCTAGCGCTTCGGCACTGAGAACATCAGGCCCCATATCATCGGGCCTGAACTCACGGGCTGCAAAACAGTCAGGGACGAAAGTAAGACTTGACGAAGTCCATGATAAGGTGGGCACAGCAAAACTTTTCTCTCCTTACCTCACTCCAGGTAAGGGATCCACTAACGACCAACTTCAACCTTGTTATTAGTAAACTTTAAATCAGATTTTGTCAAGCCCTTCAAAGAAACTTATAAAGCACAAGATAAGTAGGATAGAGTACCACCAAGTAGAACGAAATGAGGTAACTGTTCGATATCATGCATCGACAACTTGCATACCTAAGATGGACATTTCTTGTCGAAGTCTAGAGAGGGAAGGAGAAGGAAGTGAGGGCATACTTACTCATAATCTCTTCGTCTAAGAGCTTCTGATTGAGCACGTTATTCAGAGTATCAGCCTCAGCCTCTGCCAAGATATGTTGTCGAATACAGCACAAGGCTGTTACAAGGGCTGCGACAATGACGATAACAATTAAAGATACACTCAAAATGAGCCACTTAATCGCCCATGTCTTTTTCTCGTACCCAGGAAGAAGGTAACAGGGTCCTTGGACACCCAACAAGCTCTCCCCGGCTTCCTTAGTGATAAAGATGCCGTAGATGTGTATTTTAGAGCCATCTCCAGCCACTGGAAAAAATAGAACAAACAATAGAACTTCAGTTTGGCAGGCAACCGAATGAAATTTGCGATTACTACAAGACAAAAGAAAATTCAATGCAATCATGGTGTATCTAATGTGGAAGCTAGACTGATATGACATGCATCGCGACTCCGAGGCACAATATGGTATCGTCCGTTCAGATCAATGGTTTATCAACATCATTATCACATATGAAGAGGAGGATAGTAAATAATCTTTTCCTATGAAGCATGAGTGACCGCAACTTTCTTCAGAAGTACGGAACGAAGAGTTCATACTCACGTTCATCCATAGTGATATACTTTAAGCATATACAAGCACACTAAAAGCGGCTAACAAAAAGCTACGAATAAGAGGATGCACTCACTGAGGCTGTGTTGTAGTAGGACTACAGCGGATGAAGAGACATTAAAGTTTTACAATATGTAAATAAGAAATGTTTGAGGTAACAGACTCCAAAACAGAACAACATGCTACAACACTTTAACATAGGAGTGAGCACCGGGAGACTACTGGTTTCTATGTCTGTAGTTGAACAGAATAACGAAGGGCATAACGAAAGTGAAAGTGGTTTCTGCAGCCAATCTGGCTGTAGAACTCCAGGATATTTGTGAATTAGTGATTCTTGCCTAAGCAAATGAATGTCAATAGAAAAAAACACATCTAATAGACGAGTAGCGTACTTGACACAAGTTCGTTGGTGTCCTTGTTGTTGAAAATAATAACTGCAGTGAATCCTGCATTCTGACAGTTGCGGATTTTCTGCTCAAAGGTGCAGTTCCCGCGCATAACAAGTGCGAACGAAGTTGTCCCCGTCACATTGACGCTAAGATCAGAACATGCCTCCAACGGGTCAGCCGTATACAGAACTCCCTCAATTCCTCCATCTGGTATGCGTGGGGCTGCAAGAACAAACCAGTCAGAATATCTTCTTTTCAGCTTGTACACAAAATTTACAATTGGCACTGAAAGCTAATACTCAAAAGAAAAATCATGTAACGTTCGCCAAGAACAGGGCAATCTATCGGGGCCATGAGTATGCTATACAACGAGCCGTTAACTATCAAGGCAGAGATTTCTCTCATGAAAATATTTCTAAACAGTTGTCAGATGTCACCTTCAAGTCGATTGAAGTTGAACACCAATAGATGAAGTGAAGTCGAAAATTAATCATCTAGGTAGTTTTCATCTTCCCTGGACCCCTATCTATGCATACAGTCACATGACCCAAAAGTAGCGGACGATGGCGTCTTTGAATAGCGAACTCACTGGGTACTACTCGCATCACTTTGATTTTAGTTTAATATACAATATTACAAACAGAAAAAGTAGCCTGTGATGAAGAATCTCTAGGTGTACTTAATTATACCCACGAGATGTGGTGGCGAAGATGTTGAACAGGTGGCAACATTATTCAACACCTCTACTACAGCAAACCCACAAAAAGCTTGAGATATACCCATACATCACTTATGACCTTAGAGATACACTACCGCTCTGGGTGGATCTCACTTCTAACGTTCACACCTCCCTTCAACTCAAGTCAGTGCATCCCGACAACCATAGTCCGCACGTTGCGAAAGATTGCTATCGTACTGCATCGTGTTGTAGCGGGGAGTGTGCCATGACAGCATTCTGATAAAGAGAGAAGACATCATCCTCACACGAGAAGTAGGACAGGAGCTCACTGAAAGTGGTCGCGGAATCCATGCTGGGGAAGGACGTAGTATCATTTCCGAAGAGAACGACCGTCGCTCTTCCCTCTGCGACGAGCAGCAGCGCGATGGAGCAGCCCAACAGCAACCTCAATAAGAAGGACATTGTAGCTCAGAAGCTCCTTCAGGCGTATGTCCTCTTTAGACCACAAAACTGCTGACTCCCGTCCGCCCTGGTGAAATCCGTGAAACTAAAGACCGACGATGATTCTAGCTACACATGCCCCAGTAGCTTCTCGAACTAAAAGTCGCCGCTGCGGATGAGGTTGACGGACACCAGCTGTCCATCCTCAGAGTCCGATCGATCGATCTATCACCCCTGCAGCTAAGTACTCTGGGTTTCAGAATCAGGAGTACCAGGCCCCCTTTCGATCGGGCAACGTCCCCTCCCCGTTCCTGATCTGCCTATCTGGAGTTTCTTCACTCCTGCGATCTGAATTGGCTCCTCAACGCCCACTCAGCGACACTCCACCACCCAATTCTTCAGCCCACGATCTCCGCCGCCACCGATTGCAGCAACACTCCGCGTCGATCGACTGGATTCCTGCTGCTCTCGCTCACTCACGCACTCGCTCGCCCGCTCGCTCTCTCTGATCTGCTCGCCAATCCCATCCCCAACTAGTCAATAATCTCCTCTCCTCTCCTCTCCTCTCCTCGTCCTTTTCCTTCCCCGCACCTTTGGTCCGGGTGATGAAGATTCAAACCACTGATCGCATCCAGACAATAAACAAATCGATGGAAACACTACTGGTGCCAGTACACTGCGGCCCGCTGGCTGACTACGTCTTTTCGTGAAAAATGCTGAGAATATGGCCAGAGGCTGCACACCCGAGAGACCGTGCCTGCTGCTGCTGCTGCTGATGCTTGGCCCATAAGGCAGCGCCTTCTTTCCACCACACCGGCGCTCTCACTCCTCGCTTTTCCTTGCTCCCCATCCCTTGGGCCGAGCCCCGGCCCCTTACGCTGCAGGCCTCGCCCCCGTTCTCCGGCCTCTCTGGGCCTATACAGTAGCGTCGAGCTCTTTGCGGGCCCGGCCCGCGCCCTCCAGCTCGGCCTCCCGAGCCCGGATTCCCCGTCGGAGATTCTCGACCACTGATGCTCGGCCCATGTTCTTTTCGTCCGCGTTCGCCTTTCGTTGTCACATTTGCCCTTCTTAATCAACTCCCGAGTCCCGTCATCTGTGACTCCTGCGACGCCCGGTGTTTCCTTTTCGTGCACCGATGACTGCCACCGTGCGCCTCTTCCTGAATTTCTTTTCGACCGTGCGTGCTGGTACAGCTGAAGATGCAAAATATCTCATGCATCTTGTGCTTGCTTTTCCGATTCGGTGCAAGAATTAACTATACAGACCATGCTTGAGGAGAGATTAACTCTGTACCTGTCGAATCTCCTTCCGAAGATCTCTATAATAGAGCACTTCATTTATATATGTAATTAAGATTAGCAATGCGATTGAACTTGGCGTTCACATGAGCATAACAATCGAGGAAGTAAGCAATCGCCTCAACAGTTCTTCCGATTCACACAAGCATGTGATGTTATGGAAATGATCTTTTCCATTCTTAGCCAGATTTGGTCACACCCAATATTTCATTTTCGAACAAATTAATCGTTTTAAAATGTTGAAATTGATACATCAACTTTTAGTGTATCAAACATGAATATCTCTTTGAAACTTATGTACTTTAAAAAAACCTTAGTTTACATATATCTGAAACTTAATTGGCAAATTTTATGGTTGACTTACGAGAATCTTTATAAAAATATAATTACGATTTTTTTCTTGTATACAATTTAATTTTCAGAATCCTTCTCTCTCTCTCTCTCTCTCTATATATATATATACCTCAAAATTTGAAATTTATTCTTTATTTTAAACACTATATTTATTGAATCAGTCATTCTAAATTTCAATAACTTTTTTTTTTGAAACTTCAAATGTGTAAGTTATGATACCAAAAAATATATAATATATACATATAAAATTATAAACCTCCTTTCAACTAAATAAATGTATTTAGAAGTTGATTATAAAGTAATTGTATTACCTTATACATTGCTTCTTGCCATCGACTTGAACCTCCGTTCTTTTCAAAATTATTTCAAGTTTTACATTTAAATTTTTTTTTCAAAAAAACTTTATTATTTTCTAAATCACAATCAGGCCATTTAAGAAAAATAATGAAAAAAACTTTTAGTTAATATTCTGTGAGGAATTTTTATAGTCTAAAAATCAGAAATATTAGAAGATTATTTTGATCATACTAGTATACAAGATCAATAATTTTGAAATTTATACAAATTTTGCAAATTTTACACATAACATTTATAACAAAAATAAAATGAAATTTAAATCATAATTTTAATATGAAATAAATTGATATAATATTTCCAATCAACTTGTCAATGTTATCACACATATTTTAATAATTAGACCCAAAAAATATTGTATTGTAATTTGTTCACATATCACAAAATTATGGATCAAAGATAACTGGAGATCAATTGGATAGTATGGAGATTGCTAGTTGGATTAGACTTGAGTCTTCATATTAATAACAAAACTTTTAGAGATCGAAAGAAAAATAAATACATAACATTAATTGAACTTTACATGAAAATTTGAACAAGGGATGATATAAAATCTGAAATATGAATTCGCTTAATACATTGATGATTGACATTTGATGTTTTCATTGCAATTTGTTGATTGATTATTATATCAAGAATTTAAAATAAAAATATATGTAATCAAAAGCATTGTCATACTAGAATTTGAAAAAAAAAAAAGGATTAATATGTGTGATGAACTTTGCATATCAGAGTTTTAGCAATTTGAAATAATCACATGAATGATGATTAGAACATTCGATCAAATAAAATCTCAAATTGTATAAATGTCAGTGCAAATCTGAGTTTCTCAAAAAATCATCTAGTAATTTGTATGTAATTTACTAATTTTTTTGACTAAACATGTTGTGATATAACTTTTGTCATTGAGTATTATAAGTTGGATCAGCACATAGATCTGAAATTGATAATACAAGTTTTATGTTTAGTTAAAGTAGTTAACTTTAAAAGAAATGCTTCCATAATCCAGTAAATAGATTTGTTTCATCACATTTTTTTTATTGAACCAAGTGAGGAATAGATTACTTTTATATTCTAGAATATAATCTATTGTCTCCTTGATCTTGTAATATATGAATTTGTGACATCTCACAGTTGGAATATCCTTATACTTTTGAACATTTTATAATAGCAATTATGTACAGTTCTAATTGAATTCCATTGCAAATAATGACATTTGATTATCAATGTACCTAAATTGAAAGATGAATACTGGTATCTACATATTTTTCTTAATTTATCTTTATTCAAAATCAAATCTCATCATGGAAATATCTAATTTTCATCACAATATGTAACTTTTCTTTCATCTCACATTTAATCATCAAGTAAAGAAATCTCCCTTCAATCATATCTTCATTAATTTTCTTGATAATCTTTTAAAAGGGTGTCATTAGACTTTGTGTATATTAAGGCTCTAATTATTTAACAAATTCTCATTTTACAGGCCAGTTTAAGGAAAAATTGATTTATTGCATCAAATTAAGCTGAGACCAATATCTCACGTGATATTCTTGTAACACACATTAGTAATTTTGCAATGTATCAATCAACGAACACATAATATGAACATGTAAACATAGTTGAATCACTTCTACTAAGGATGCCATATAACCTTAGTAGATGTAATTGCTTCTTCTTGTCGTGCATCTTACAAAGCAATCTCAATTAGATAATGTTACCATTTATTTATTATAAACTGAGATAGGGATAAATGCTATTGGCTCAATATCAAAAGCTTTGAACATGTCATGTGTATCGACGATGGTGTCGATTTGAGTACAGACACGTTGGATTTGAGTTCGAGGGGAGATACACGTTGGGCCGCCCTGCACGTTGGGGTCCACGACCTTGAGTTATATGCGAGGCGAGTTCTTAGAGTTCTGTCAGTTCTTCGAGTTGAGCCTTACGCGTCGGGGTTTTTGCCCTTAGCTTCAACTCTTAGTCTACCTACGAGTAATGAGTTTGGCTCGACTCTCTCTGTATTTGTGTTTCGACATTTTTGTAGGGATAAGTTGTGATACCTTTGTGTGTGGACACTGTCGGTCCTTGTGTATATGTGTGAGTAGAGCATGTCAGCGATGTATGGCGATACCGAGTCGCACTACAAACATCGCTGATTTTCCGGAAAGCAGACTTCATGACTTCGAGAAGGAACTAAAGACACGTGAGAGAAAATTTAAAACGAAGTAGCTCAGATTAAAAGTGTCCAAGCAATAAAACAAATGTTTAATAGTAGCTGATTCATCACATCTTATGTTCTAACTTATAAGAAATCTTAAGTTTAAGAGGTGTGTGCGTTGAATTATATTTTTATTTACCGTTTGTTCTCGTAAGCCAAGTATAGGGATTTGATATGTGTCGTGGAGTGTGCAAGAGTCAATCGATTCTTATAAGATTTTTCATTTTCCTTCCATAAAACTGTGAAAATTATTATAGACAATGTAACTTAATTATTATAAAAAAACTATCAACTACTTTTTTATATGTAAAAGATTTAACTAGAGTATACACCTGATACATAATTCACATTCGTGTCTTGCCACTTCTTCTTCATTCTGAAGAAAGTCATCTCAACGAATTGATTATTTGCATACTCTTCCACTTTGTCTGGTTCATTTACAGTTATCGTTTCCGGTCGGTCGAGTCGTAGTGTTCGGGCAGGATCGCCATTTGAAAAACGTACACGCTCAAGGTCGACTCTGTCCATGGCCCGGGCATCTGATTTTCTCGCTATTCTTGAGAGGGGAGGCAGCTCGACACTCGGACGGATCGAACGAAGCAAAACACTAGGCGACAGCAGCTCGCGCCAACTTTGTTATCCCTAGGACAGCGTTCGGAGGTCTAGAGATCGCTGTCACTCACTCTATCCATATCTCAGAACGACGTGCGGGTGGGTCTTCTGAAGACGAGCTCTGGCGGTCGATTTTCCAAGAGATGGCCACAGAAGCTCTGCTCAGCTGAGCTCAGCTCGGAAGGAAGGAAGGAATTTCACGCAGCTGAGGCCTGCACCATGTACGAGCCGGGGAGCTCGACCACTAGTGCGGTGGGCTTGGTGCCCACTGCTCTGCTGAATTGCACAGTCTAGAGTGTCGGTTGCTGTGGAATTTCAGCTGCTGCTGCCGCTGCACCGAGCAAGCCCGGTGGATTGTTGCATTGTCGGGAGCAGCTTCTGACGAGGGGTAGGATTTAAATTTTCGTCTGTGAATCATGGGATTCGATGCCGTTCTCTCTCATTGTCACTCGGGGGCCAGATTATGCACCACGCTCTCCACCGAGCCGCAGAGTTTCAGTAGAAGTCGGAACAGCACTGACTCTGTCGGGCTGAATTCCAATTTTCCTGCTCCGGGTTACCGAAATGTGGACTGTAAATTGTCGACTTCTGGAGGCAGGGATGAAAGATCATCATCGTTTTGGGGCAGAGGTTTGCCCGAGGCGATGGATTTTACAGATGTGGAGAAAGAGGCGAGAAGAAGAGGGAGGAGAGTGTTAGCCGCAGGAGTTCACGCCAGCGCCAGCCAGCAAAAGCCACCCATATTTGTGCTGAAAAAACCTGACAGAAAACCGATTGAAAACGAAGGAGGCAATAGCGGTCCTAAATTCGTCTCGAGTGAATTTGGAGACATGTCGTTTACGGAGAATCATAAAAGTGGTCAGTGTCTGACCTTTTATCTTAGCTTTAGCATGTGTGTGTTGTTCTCAGGTCTTTGGCCTTCCACATTTTCAGTTGAATTTCACCGCCCCTGAAGTTGGGATACTCAGCCTCGTCTTTTGCAACAGATATTGCTGTGTCAGTCTCTCTGGGAAGTGGTCTCTTTCTATTTTCTGGATAAGGCGTCAGATTTATCCATTATATGCATTCACTCTCCGATTTTTATAATCACTTCTGAATTTCGAAAGTTCGAACCTGTGATCCAACCTCTGTTGCTCATTACAGTCATGATGTTGCCTCCTCACTTCTTCAAATCATTTCTCATGTTTTTATCATGTCCAATGTGTCCATTGTTACCGGCAAAGCCTGCGTTGGGTATGTAATCTAACATTGTCTGAAGCGATGTTTTGCAGGATATGTAGCGCTAGTCGGTAAACCCAATGTAGGGAAGAGCACTTTGTTGAATCAAATAATTGGACAAAAACTGTCAATCGTTACGAACAAACCGCAAACAACTCGTCATCGAATTCTAGGCATATGTTCAAGCCCCGATTATCAGGTAATTGATCAGTTCAGGGTATGCAGGTATCTTTGTTGATTTCACAGAGTTGACATATCTACACCAATGTCGTGGAGTTTCAGCCCATTGTTGAGCGCATCATATGATGCGGTATCCTTCTACCCATTTTCCCAAGCTAATTCAGCCTTTCGATTAGATGCTTGCTATGTGAACTTCAACCTTGATCATAATTGTAATGTACAACATAAAACTTGTTCATATAACAACGCACCGCCCGGAAACGTGGTTATCAATCTACCCAAGAGAATCACTGATCAAGTTTCATGTTCGTATCGCTCTATCTGCTCGATGTCGGATTTTGTAGATGATCCTCTACGACACACCTGGGTTCATCCCCAAGACCATGCGGAGGTTGGATGAGATGATGATGCAAAATGTCCGCACCGCAACAATCAATGCAGACTGTATCTTGGTAGTTGTGGATGCATGTCAGGTGCCAGAAAAGGCAAGTATCTTACTTGTGTTCGTGTTTTCAAAACTGCCTAAGATTGTGAGTAGTTTCGATTGCGTGTCATGGATGGGTGCGTTAATGCTTGAAACCTTACATGCCAGCGTTGAACTTATCATGTATTTTCTTGTCTGTCTTACAGGTGAAGCTTTGTTTTTTTTTGTTTTTATGGTGCCCCGTCATGGTAGTATGGCTTTACACCGTAATAACTCATCCGTGCCTGCAAATGTCAGATGGTCAGTGTTTTGGAGGAAGGAATGTCTGCTTCTACCGAGAGAAGGCCTACGCTTCTTGTGCTGAACAAAATTGATCTGATTAAACCAGGAGAAATCACCAAGAAGACTGAGGTACGCTAGCAAGCGATTCATGAACATGTGGATGTAGGTAAGGATAGTTACGACACGATTCAGAAAAGTAGTTCGACTCCTAACGGTTGATTCTTTGATGCAGTGGTATGAAAGCTTTGGAGGTATGGATAATGTTATACCAGTCAGTGCAAAGATGGGACGAGGAGTGGATCTTGTGAAGAATTGGCTAGTTGACAGGCTTCCAAAAGGTCCTGCTTACTACCCCAAGGTAGGGCTTTGTGGTCTGATGTGAAGTGGGAAGTTCAACTTTATTCCTTAAACGAATGCTTTTTTCCACAAAAATGCAGAAAATTATGTACAGTGCTCAAGGTCGTAGTTCTTAGTCCTATACCTTCGGTTAGTTTTTCGTGCTGCATATGAGGTGCTGTATGCACGATCTGACGTCAAACTTTCCATGAGTTCTGTCTATGGTAGAATTCGTAGATTCTTCGTTGACTAAGAAAACATTGTGCTGGTGAAAATCAGGATATCGTTAGTGAGCACCCAGAGAGATTTTTCGTTGCAGAGATCGTTCGGGAAAAAATCTTTTTGCAATATCGTCAAGAGATTCCTTACGTTTCTCAGGTATGTAAGTCTGTCCTGAACTACTCTCTTACTGAGTCCAGTAAATCCTATGAGGAGGAGTTTGCAGATCTACATAGCACGGCTTCCAATAGAATGTATACGTCTTCATTTTCAACAGAATGAGGGCTACACTAATTCCGACCCACGGATCTGACCAGGTAAATGTCCTTAACTACACGGAGAGAAGGTCATCTGCCAAAGATTTCATTGAAGCCGAAATCGTCGTCGAAAGAGACTCTCAGATGGCAATCCTAATTGGAAAGGTAATATACAATTTCTGTGGTCCATAGCCTTCTTGACCAAGTAAAATGTGCTGTTGTATGACATGCATGTTGGACCCTGGTAGATGCACGAGGCGTATGCCATTGTCTTCTCCTGAAGAATGTAATGTGTCAGCGATAAGATGGGAATAGTGGCTGACATTAGCTTGACTGGGCTATGAACAGGACGGTTCCGCTTTAAAACTGCTCGCAACTGCTTCCAGGATTGATATCCAAGAGTTCGTGGGCAAGGAAGTTTATTTAGAGGTAACCTCAATGCAATCTATTCCATGCTCAAGTCATATCAGGAATGTCCAAGAATTGTAAACTTTCCGTGTTATGCAACAAGCTTGGGTTTACTCAGCTTCATGTCACTCAGTCAGTTTTGGGAGTTGACCAGTCAATCTTGCTAAAATATCATTCAGGTGAGAAGTAAAGCTTGAAAACAGTGTGAGGATCAAAACCACGATAGGTTACACAAGTTTATTACAAGGAATACATGCTAACGCCATCCTGACATGAGTTATTTGAATTTGGTTGGAGCAGCTTAAAGTTAAAGTGAGGGAAAACTGGCGTGAAGATGACGAACTCCTTGATTATTACGGTTACAATGGGAAGATAAGATCATAGCTTAGTATTCTTCCAGTCTTTAGAGAGGAAGTTTTAAAAGTAATGTTATTCAGCCCATGCCTATGACATATCTTAGAGAACCTGTAGAGGATCTAGATGCAGATGCGGATTAGCATAGATGAGAATGTAGGTTTGCCACTCAACAGTAGATTGTGCCGGCGTCTACAACAGGTTTTTTTATTTCTGTACATGAGACTTTATTCGGAGAACTGCCGTTTTTGCTAGCTTTGCTTCCCAGTACGTCAGCTTTGCAATCAAATTTACAGGACGGTAGTGACTGATACATCGGTATCTTCAGTTGACAAGGTAACTGGGCTAGTCAGTGCCCAAAGTTCCTGGATGGGAATTTCTTTTATACGAATGCAACCTGTTTCAACGAAATATATGAAGTTCCATGCTTTTCAGGGATCTAATATCAACTCATGGATGCTGTTAGACGATTTTGTTAGATCGCATGTTTTTCCAACAAATTGCTTGATCGGATGCATGTCCTAGGATTACATGAAGAATGACCTCAAATCCTAACTCAGATCATATGGCGAAGTGATTGCTTCTTGTTGAGATGACGATACGGAGACGTGTTTTAACTTCAGCACATCGTTTATTGGCTGGTCACGCTGCGACCAGAAGCTTCTGTGGAGAAGGCCGACTTTGCAATAGTGAACGCGCAACTTCATTTTATGATGAATGGTGCAGATCTGATGAATGTCAGAAGAAATGTTTCCCTTGAACGGTCCAGCGGTAACTGCACATGTGTTTTAGAAGTATTTGAAACCAAACCTGCATCAAGTCTGGAAACCCCTGCACGATTATAACATCTGGAGAGAGCGATGCCAGAAAACTTTTCCAGCTGGAACGGACAGATATTAGGAGCCCATTGCAAGGCCCGTAGACGACCTTCCACAGCATCCTAGATCAATATGGAGCGTTGATGTAGGATCTTGGCTCCCGATCTAGTTGATTACCAGGCCTTGCTTCAAGGTGATGAATTTTGGAAGTTCAAAGTGATTAACGCTGAAGTTTTGGCATAAGTAAAGCCGAGTCGAATACTTGTGCATAGCAAATAAAGACAATACATCGGACAAGGCCTGGACTTGTCCTTGTGCTAGAGCTACACTAAATGCCGCGTTTCTTCTATCCGAAATACTGCTTCATACATTGCATAATGCAAAAGCTCTAGAGTGGACTCCAATTCTAAAAATTATCTCCAACCTTATTGAAAGTCCTATTTTTTTCCTCCATCCAACTACTGCAACTGCTCGTGCTACTGCCTCTGACAATCGAGACTGCTACAATCTCTATTGTGCGTCGTTCATGTATCCTGCACTCAGCAGCCGAAATGTGAACACAGATCTCGTCTCAAGGTGATGGATACGATTTATCAGATCGGGACTGGCCGGCCCGCTTTGAAACAATCACCAATAAATTTCGTTTCGTGTCTCGGTCCTGTGATCGTGTGTTTGTGTGTATGTTGTGTGCGTGTATGCTCTCCAGAGTTCGAAGGCAAGCATATCTCTGAGCCGTCCGCAGACGTTCGTGTCGTCGTCATTCATTCATGTTCGCTTCGTCAATCTGTGATTTGCTCGCTTAGCCAGAACATGTGCCTCTGCGGAACGGCTAGATGGTTCAATACTTTGTCGCGCTGTCGCTTGCTCGGTTGCTTTCATTCTTGCTTTGCTTCGCTTGGCTCGCTTGGTGTCGCTTCTCTGGTCGGCTGCTGCTGTTGCTGTTGTTGCTGCTGCTGCTGCTGCGAGTCGAGTGTGCTCCGAGTTTGCTCGCAGTCCCTGTGGACTTGCGGTGCAAGCATCGAAGGGGTGAGGGCCTGAGGAGGGTCCGGTTGCAGCGGATATTTGGGTAAGTGAAAGGAACCCGTCTGCACAGTATCTAGTATCAGCACATCCGTTGCATCCCACTGCTCTTATTCCATGGTCTGAGATCCATCGCCTTGGTGAGGATTCCGGGGTGAGTTCGCCAAATTTCGAGTCATCATGAATAATGCGTTGCCGTGTAGGGAGACCATTGACATGTGGAACAGCCGTGTATAGACATCTGTGAACTATGTGAGAAGTATGTGATCGTAAGGCTGGGCTTGAAGATCAGGACCCGCGGATTGCTAGACACACCTCTTGCAGCAGGCAGCCCAGCCAGGCCAGGCTGGCGGCTGACTGGACGACCGGACTGGACTGGACTGGACGCGACGCAGAGAGAGAGAGAGAGAAGCTAGAGTGGAGGAGAAGGAGGCTAGCTGGGTGGGCTGTGTGTACTGCAAAATGGGCAATTCGAGACCTGCGGGCCGCGGGAGGGTATGGGTGAGGTGTACAGGGCGGCGCCACGTCAGACCGACCGACTGCCAGCACAAGGACCACGGTGGAAGTCAGGAGTAGTCCTGGGCGGGCCGCCGCTGCTAGTCGTAAGGGCACTGTCTCGAGGACGTTACTATGTGTACAGGAGTTTTGAGGACTGATCTAGGAGTTCTGTCGCCGTCCGTGGCTCGCGGTAGGTTCTTCAAATGGACACACTGTTCGGGACGCCCCGGCCCGTGATGCCTGGACCGGATCTCGGGAACAGAAGTTCGTACGGCGGCACGCCGGCTCCGTTGCGGTTCTTGAGCCGCGAGTTCTTATTTCTACGCTCTATTTCCGTCTCCACGCTGCGCATGGTTTCCGTGAAGCGCTTGAAGGCGTCGAGGGCCGTGCGGTCACTGGTCCAGCGGGCCTTTCGTTCGCCGAGGTACTCCTCGTCGGGCGAGTGAGCCGAAAGAGCTTCAATTATCATCATCATCACCGTCGCCTGCTCCTGGTTCGGGAGCATGGACAGGAAAAACGATTGCGGATTTCGGATGAATTCTACGAATTCTGCGGTTCCTTCTTCGGGAACCAGCTTCCTAGTTAAGCACGGGTGGTTCGGGATGTAGCCCCCGTACGTGAACTGGCCGAAGTTCACAGCGGCGTGGTGCCCGCTCGTCATCCACAGCATCGTCGTCAGGATCTGCACCAGGTCCTCCTTGGTCTCCAGCTGCGGCCACCACGGCTCGTGCTTCTTATCGGCGTGGCCCACGTACCTGATCTCCGCCCACCACTTCTGAAGCTCGTAGTCGTCTACAACACTCCTCGCATCGTGTCCGTAGTATATATTTACATAGTCACCGACCCATTCCTCGAGCGCAGACCACAGCAGCAGCCCGTCCGCTGCATATGGATAGTCGTCGATCATCAACTTCAAGCCGTGAGGCGAGTTCGCATCCTTTTCCGCCATGCCCCTGTCGAGTCAACACAGGCACAGTTCAGTAAATTGCCTTCCATACATCAGAGATTCTGAGCCTAGAGGATGCCCGCTCCTGATCAAGCTACCTCGCTCTTGTCAGAGCCACGGGTGCCGACGCCAACATCGCCGGGCTGAAGTCCAGGCCAGTATGAGAATGTAGAGTTCCAGGATGCGGGAGCGTGAGGACGAAGCTTACCTTCGGATAAGATCAGCGGGCAGGGCTTCCATGTCGAACCGCCATTTCTGCTTGTAAACTGCAGAGCTCATCTCCATGCAGTACTTCCCCGGAGTGAAGCACGTCTCCAGCGACAGAGTCCCGATGAGCTTGAACATGAGCTTGGTCACGGGATCGGCCTCCGAAGTGTCGATGGATGAGGCGATGACTCCATCCGCGGCTATGAGGTTCATCCTGGCGGCTCCATTTATCTCCATCGTGTAGCGAAGATGGGGTCGCAGGAATTTCGATATTGGGTGTAGAGTGCTTAGTTGCCTATGCGTGGCAATTATATACGGCTCCGTGCAAGCATGAGTGCGCAACCTGCCGAGATCACACGATTCTGTTACCCACTCGCACATCCTCTTGACCAGAGCATACATTGTTAAGGGAATTGCAGCGGACGCATGGCATGGCATGCAGTCGGAGCAATTTCAAACCCACAAACCGGAGGACTTTCAAAGCGCCTGTCATGAAGAGAAATGAGGACCCGTCTGAAGCTCTTTCGACAACTTACCAGTGGCTGACAAGCTGGTGATGTCCAGAATCATTGGAGCAGACATGTGCTTTGGCGAGCTGCCACAGCCAGTAGTTCGTTGGTTCGTTCCCTGGTGTGAACACGCGTTGACTCCCTTTGGCTCCCTTCGTGGCTGGGGGCAGACTTAATTCTATAGCTAGAGGCTTAAGAATGTTTTCTTTGTCTAGGAAAAATAGTGTTCGAGTAGCGTAGGTCTTCCGCCCCTCCAAATTGTTAATAGCATTAACGAAAGGCATGAAAAGATCATGATAGTCTAGGATGAAGAGCTTCTTCTCTTGAAGGGCCTGCGCAAGAACGAGTCCATGTAATTCAGTCAGCACAGATTCTCCAAGAACTGGCTCCTGTCGCTTGCAAGGCACAAGAGTTTGCAAACACTCTCAAACTGCAGTAACTTCCTCTGTTCTAATATAAGTGGAAAAGACTTGAGCGTTCCGACGTTGCTGAAACTGAGGCCACCGAAGCTGGAGATTCGAAATTACCTGCTCTACGGTAAGACCCTCAAGTTGGCCTTCAATTTGTTCTGCGGTCATAGCTGATTCTCGGTTTCCATAAACCTCAGGATCCAGTTCACTTACAGGAGGAAAAACCTGCAGCGCATGGGAAAAAAACTTAATTAGGATTGATTTTGATCATTTCAGGAGTGAAATATAACCCTGAATGAGCTGAATTGATGGCGTATTAGAATGGGCCAAATCAGGCAGACCCGAGCTCCCGCTGAACGGAATTTCACCTTAAGGCACTCTATTGTCGAGGGATTTTGTCCTGCTAACATCTGGCGGCCAAACTCTTCGTCACGCATCCACGCGAACTTGTCCTCTGCAGTGACAGCATGCATACGGTGGTTGAGAACCTTGTTGGGAGAAACCTCCAGGACCATATGAAAAAAATAAAAATACAGCTCCTGCCAGCCGAAACCCGGGGGACAGAAACCGAGGACTTAAAGGGCGTTCTCAAGGCAAGGCACGGCAAGGAGAGGAGAGGACCGACAACTTACTTGAGAGTAACTCCGGTAGTGGGTACTTGCTGAATGAATCACTACTGTTACCGATAAAGGGCAGCTGTCGTATGAGGTTTGGTACAGAGTATCCAGGGAAAATCTCTGAAGAAGTTTCATTAGTTTCGCTGTTCTTGGGACGCATACTACTGGGAATGCCCTCAGAGTACAGCTTGTCAATATCTCCAAAACTACTGAACTCAAAGTTCTTGTCGGTTAGTCGCGCAAACATAGCTGGCGCAAGCTTGTGCATGAGGCCCTTCATGCAGCTGTCTATAAAAGTTGACTCCTTGATAGGGTCAAAGCATTCATCCCGAGGAACGTAGATTCTCCCTCCAACTTCCACTCTGCTTTCCAGATTGGGATCTGTCGAGAGCAAGCAAATTTGTGTTAGCCCATTTTCCTGTCTACTCTCGGGCAGGACATTGCCCTGCCCTGTGAAGGCAAGACAACAGATGAAATGACGGCAACATTGTCAACAGATGATTTCATATCTTATGCCGAACACGACTCAAAGGTCCGACGGGTTAGTCGCTCATGCCTGTCTTCGTCGGTGGTCGGCCCGTGCGGCAGCGACGCGGGTAAGGTAATTTGCTGTTGCCACCCAGAGTCGGCCGGGCGAGATCAGAGCCCTTGTCTGGATCTCCCAAATCGTTGTAGGTGGCATAATCGTAGATCCGCTCCCAGTCTTTGCGAGCTCCCTTTCCATCCCCTCGCAAAGCCTTCAATTCCTTTTCACGGAGAACTCTCAATCCAGGTGGAGTGGCGGAGGGTACGTGCACCTGCGCAGATAACATGTCCGAGATGAATATCTTCAGGTCGCATTCGTTACGTGCATATGCAGACGACGAGTTCTGCTGCATGAGCGTAGATTCTCGAATTCTTGGAAAAATGTCTGAAACATGCTGTCCCTTCAGCCCGGAAGATCTGGCTAGTCCGAGGGCAGTCAGGGATTGCGTATTGTTCGGACCAGAAAGAAGACAATTACTCACCTCGTTGCTGAAAAATACTCGTTCGGTCGGGGGATAAGTGCTGAGCTTGTCTGGTTGAATCCAGGAATTGCACGGGAAGTAGGTGGCTTCGTCATTATGTGAGGACCGGATGCTGATGGACTCCAAGTAGAACTCGTTTTGATGGTTGTTGAGGACTACGACAGCCCCTGGCGATCCAAAATCCATGGGTACGGTCCATTCAACCGTATACTGGAGCTTATCAGCGACCACGTTTACTTTTTCAGCCCAATCTCGCAGAGCCGAAGGTTTGCTCCGCTTCTCAACTCCAGTCTCTGCCATTCCGATCAATTCAATGGATACTCAGGGGTGAGTAGGATTTTCTTTAGAGCCATCGATAATCTCTCCTTCAACCCCTCAAGCAATCCTCAATACATCACCGAACCCAAAACAAACAATCGTAAACCGGCAGCAGACTGTCGCAATTTAGTTCACTAAGACCTCAAGGTGGGCGCTCAAATTTCGCAATTCCGACAATCAAAGGCATAGCTGCCCAGACAGCCTCAAATGACGGGAAGAGCCCGTCAGTTTGGAATGCACATTCGTAAATTCGTGCGACGTGGGTTCGGATGGCTCGATTACTTACTGGGATCAATTTCCTTGCTCACTAATCGCAGGAGGATGTTTGCGAACCCCATCCGATCAGCAACAGCATCCACTTTATCGAGGAATTGTTCACTTATGGAAGGCCGAGGCTTCCGGCTGAGAGTGACGATTGCTTTCAAGATCAGATCTCGAGGTGAATTTGAAAATCTGGAGCTCCCAGCAGGCTGAACGCTGCTCTCTCTCTGCGTCTGCTTCACTCTGCCCGAGGTCGAGCATATGGGCGTGTAGATTTTCGTCACGACTTCCGCAAGGTGAGCGATCCTAGATCTCTTCTTCGATGCCACGCGAAGGCGGGTCGTGCGGGAGAAAGGATGTTGGGAATCCCTCAGCGATGTCCCACGCTGCCATAGTCCTTCGGCCGGGATGGAGTGATGCAGACCAACAACGCTCTTCATGAGGAGCACCATGTTGAATTCCTGACGCACAATACAGAAATGTTCAGCGTCAATTTGCTCGAGGATGATGGAATGACTCCGTGCAGATTTCTCGGACGACACTTCTCATGTCTTCTCTTGCTGCAAAAAGAAATACCGAGTACGGTGGAGGAGGACGAGGAGAGCGCTCGGGGCTGTAATACTTACAGAATGGCAGCACTACAATCCACACCAATACGTCGAAGAAGAAGAAGAAGCGAAATAAGAACGAGCAGACGTCACGTTGCGCAAGTGACAGTCGCCTCGATCGGAGTTTGTCCTCATGAAATCCGAAGTGTGGAACGTCCGAAACAAGCAAAATTGTGGCCGAACAGAACCGGAGCAAGCGACCGGAGACTGAACGAGATCCGAAGAATGACGGGAAAATTTCGTACAAAATTGTTGCCCGAAGGTTCTCGAGCCCAGCGCAGTGCGATGCCCGCCCTTCTTCGACGAGAATCGCGAGTGCTGCTGCGTGCTCGCGAAGGGCCCGGAGGCGGAGATGGAAATGGAGATGATGGATAGATGGGATTTTTGGCAACCAAGCTTGCTTGCATGCATGCGGGATTTTTTTTTCCAGTTTCGAGCTTAGTTCGCATACAGACGCACAGCCCGGAGCCCAGTAGTACACCCAAGTACTAGCTTACATGGATAACCGATGTCCCGAGGGCCTTGCGCTATATAGTGGACACCGGATCGGCCATGCGGCCGGGACGGGGGCGGGGGCAGGCAGAATGAGAGCGACGGGCAGTTATTTCGATAATAAACAAGTGCGAAGGGGGGGCGTGATTCTTGCGGCCTCCTGCTTTCTATATGGTCGGAAACGATATGCAGAAGAGTTGAAAAGTGCTGGCAGTGTGAGGGCCAACAGTGGTCTGATGTTCAAACAGGGGACAGGAGCTGCTGGCAAACATGAGATACGCAGAGGGATATGATAATATACGTGGACAGGCGAGCAAGGCCATGGCGAGAGGTGACAAGGTCCGCTCACTGCAGCAGCGATGCGAGTGTCGTGGGGCCGGAGTCCTTATTATGGGTCCTTAAGCTGTATGATGCGATATAATTGTGGCCGAGCCGAAGCGGCTTGTCATGGCTGGGGCGTGCGCTCGGTCATGGACGCCGTTGCTTCATGCGCTCCATGATCGGCACGATCGCGTCGCGCCGTTGCTGCACAGTGGCAACCTCGGCTTGCCGAGGTTTAGTGAGTTCACAGAATCGAGAAAGTCAAGCTCGGCTGTAGGGATTCTCTGACGCACATCATAATTCAGTCGGGTCTCGCGACGCTGGACTCAGGACTGAATCCCCCGAGCCGAGCAGCCCGAGCTCGCTCCTTTATATGGCGCTCATTTAAATCTCTTCTGCTTCGGCTGAACGATTCCTCTCGCTCAATAAAGTCCGCGCAGGGCTCCCCGAGCCTCTGAAATCATTCCCATTTCCGTCCGCTCAGTTAATGCCCGACTCGATCTCAGACTCTCTCTAGTGCACTGAGCCCCTCGCGGACGCTGGCTCAGCTGCAGTCGCTGCGATTCTCTCCCTCGCCGCTCTTCACGGTTCCGGCTCGTTCCTGAAGCGAGCACAGAGCGACTCGCGACTCAGAAGAGAGCATGAACGACAGACGCAGAGAGGCATAGCCAGAGGTACGGCACGGCACTGCAGTCCTTGGCACTGGCTGGCATGGTCGCAGAGGATGGACTCGATCGAGTCCGTCGCCAGCCCCGCCAGCCCCGCCAGCCAGCGCGCTAGTCCCTCGACCTGCAGCAGCCAAGTTCGCAGAGGAGTGTCCACTCTCCAGCACTCTCCAGCTCTCCAGCGCTCTCGCAGCCTCGCTCCCTCCGGCTCGCAGGCGAGCACCCATGCCATCCCATGCAGAGCATGCAGCAGCACATCGGTGACAGAGGGGCCAAGGCTGGGGGGAGGGAGGGGAGGGGAGGGGAGGGAGGTGGGGGGTGGGGGCTTCGGGCGCTTCCTGAGCTGCGGCTAGACCGGTGCTCCCCAGACGGGCGACCGGCGCCGGAGCTTGATGGTAGAGGTGGTGCAAACATCGTGCGTCAGCATTTCATTTTTTGTCCAACGACAACACGGGTGCAATCGTCGTGCTCCTGCCCGATTAAAGCTCCGTCGGGCCCCGATTAATGTCCTGGCTTCATTAGCGCGTTTGTTGTTCGCTCATTCGGTCAATCAACATTTGGCATAACGAACCCCCTGCGACAACTCTCTTGCCTTTCTCTGACTCGCTGCTCCAGCCAAATTCCCATTCCTTCCTCCATTAATGACTGTCGTGATATTCGCCAGGCGGCGTGACAGGCCCCGTGAACGCCCCCCATTAAATTACCGGTCCGATTCCTGTTTACTGTACGACTTTCATGAATGACTTCAAGTCCATTGACTCCCATCTCAGTTGTCACTTGCATAAGTTACAAACCGAACCAAAGTACCATACCGCAACCCCGAATCTTGTGAATCTTGCCAGGCCAGATCGACGACGAACAGCTGCTTTTCCCACGTCTGAACTCCCTCAAAGCAGTCACTTTGTATTATGTACACTTCACACTGAACATGCTAAGTGTCGTGTTGGAGGCCAGGCCTCCTTCTCCAAGTGTTCAAAGCTTCTCTCTGTGTATCCACACTGTATTGTACTCCAATGTGTGTATGTGTGCATGTGTGTGTTGTGGGTGGGTTTAGTGCAGTGTCCAGAGTGCACCACAGTAGGTACAAGAAGGGGTGAAAGGCAATCTGAGACCCAGAAAATCCCTTACGTCCTGAGACCTCTCCTTCAGCGCGATAGACTCTCATGGCCAACACCATTCCGTACGCTCTTCTGCAATACTTCCCGAGGACTTCGAAATGTTCCATGTGCAGGCCGAAGTCCAGGTCTTCATTTTTTTTGTTTTCAATTATTTGTTTCGTGTTTCCCACTGGAGGGATTATGTGTACGAAGGAATCCAGTCTCGATCTATTGGAGTTATCGTTTGAACAGTATCGATCTTCGGAACATACAGAACAAAGCTGAAGCGTAAGAGCAATTCGTATCACAGCAAACCTCTAATCTTAAGGCCACAGCAGTCCCGAGTCCCGAGTCACTAGCTCTGGTGTTCAGACAGGGCACGACAGTTGGTTTTCGTGCTAGGCATCACACGGCATATACCACTTTTTCCACTTACTATAGCAGGTCACACCTGCAGGCTCGTGAGCTGGTAGGCTGACGACTATCGAGGAAGAAGCACCAAAGGTGACGAACTATCTCGACAGCTTCTTTGCTGGTCAGAGGTCACAAGCAGAAGTTTGCGTTAGGTTTCCCAAGATAATCAAATGCAAAGTCAACTAAACTCTTTAAGAAGAAACAGGGCGAAGAAGGAGAATGTCAATGTCTGAGCATCCAGACACTCAGACTTGCAGTTTATTAATTGTGGCCACGCAAACTCAAGCTAGCAGGTTAATTGTGGCCACATGAACCGGTCAGCTAACGATTGTCAACAGAATTCACATGGGTTTGGGAGGTTCCTTGGTTTATCAGAGTTCACAAGCTAACCCATCAGTGAGGTGCATAGTGATGGGCCATCACTATGCACCATCACTATGCACCTTCTCTCCCAGCTAAACCCGGTGGAAAAGTGAAAGATGCCAATAAGTCAACTAATCAGTGTGGGAATAATTTGGAGGATTTCTTGTAGCATCAAGTTGTAGGAATTATCGATTTTCAAGTGATATGCAGAACGGAGAAAAATGGAATCAAGACATGGTAAGAGCGTAATAGGATTGTTCTTGACATGACGCCAGCAAAAAAAATAAGGAGGAAACAACTAAGCGAGGTCTGCAGCGGACAGGAACGAGATTCTAGCATAGCGAGAGTATGAGGTGCCCATGAGAGGCGGTTCTTTCAAGGCCTTTGGGGGTCAGATAGCGGGCCGGACAAGGACAAGGACAATCAAGGAAGAGGCGAAGGATAACTAAAGTGCCTTGAGAGTCTGAGAGAGAATAAATGTTCCTTGAGTATAGCACCGATCATTAAGCAGAAATGGCTATACCCAGGGGCGGAGCATGCACCGTTCGCAGCTCTAGCATGTGGCTTGCAACGTAAAGAAGAGCATGAAATGAGGCCGGAAGGCCCAGAACCATTTTCAGCCTCTTCGGACATGTTCTCTTTCCCGGTGGGATTGTCCCTATTAGCGGCTTGATTCAGCGGAGAATGTCATCAAACTCGGTCTTACGGGATTCCTGGCTCTGAACTGCTCCAGGCGGGGATTTCTACCGTGCCGACAAGATGACTGGGCTTGGCTTACACGCCGTAGTCTCGCCTCTTCGCCATCGCCATCGCTATCTTCGCTCTCTTCTGCTCGCTCGCTCATGGCAGAGCGCCGCGGGCGTCGCCGCAGCTCCCGTGCCTTTGGAGCACAAGTTGCACCGTTAGAACAGTGCCGTGGTTGATGAACGAGGCGCCCCGTGGTTCCCATACTCTTCTATACTGTATTTGTCTACCTTCCCCTCGGCCACTATACGGTACCTGGCCGGTGTTTACCGAGTCTCTTTTGACTGTTCTGCCCGTCGTAGTTGGGGACTGTATAGGGCATGTATCCTGTATCGATCCATCTCGTACTTATGGCTGCTTCGTTAGCCCAGATCAACTGAATATTAATCGACTAAATTCACGGTTGCAGTGGGGGACTGTAATATCAGCCATGTTTTCAAGACCTCTGGTATCTCATGTAGAGTTAATATTCTCTCGATACAAACAAACTAAGAGGTAGTTTGAGGTCGGGCACACACATCGAGATAGAGACATGTAAATATAAATAACCTCATTTGCATGGCATTGAAAAAACACCATTATGCCGTACTTACAGCCAGCGAAACAATACGCCTCCGAGCGGATACTAAAGACGTAGTAGCGTTCGTGAATGAAAGTGAAGAGCCGTTCTTGTAGATATTTAAAGTGTGGGCAAGAATCCAGAATTTTAATCATGTAACAAATGAAGTCAATTGTAAGGAGGGAACACAAACCGTTTATCCACCTGCAGGTCACAGGCGGGGAAGAACCAATCACAACAGGCGGGAGGACCTACCAAAAAGCACAAGGATGTCACGATTTATGAAATGGCAAGTCTGTACTTTTAGAATGAGACATCAATCACCGATAGGCGAGAGTACCTACCAAGGTCAGAAGGATGTCGCTACTCATGTCTTGGGAAGCTTTTCAGTAATTGTAAGATTATATTTGAATATACTATTTTCTTTATTTCTCAATTTTGATTCCATCAAAGTTGACAAAACGTATTTTACATTACATATAAGTTATAAAGTTGATGAAAAATTTATTTATTATTTTCTCCGTAACTTTTCTCCAATTCAATCAAAGCTTTGGATATTTATCTTCCAACCATTCCATTTTCCTAAATAGGTTTCTTTGGAACTTAGTTGGGATACTATGGAGATTTGGAAAAGCAAGTTTTACATGTTGCCTATGGTTTTGGAGCTTAACGTTAAGAAATTTTTCATGTCATATGGATATCAAAGAGAATGGTTTTGCAAGCGAGAATGAAAACTTCTTGCAATATCATGTGTCATCATGCTATTATGGCTTCACTTTTTCCTCTGGCGTCATATAAAGAAGAGTATGAATTACATGTCATGTGTATAGTGTATTAGATATTTTCTGAACTTGGAAGAATTTATGCTCTTACAATTTCTTAGAGTAGAATGTTTAGTATCAATTATCTGAATGTAATGGATTAATTGGACTTATGTGATGAAGAAAATTATCAACGGCGTTTGGTGAATGAGTATTAATAAGATTTTATTGTGTAGTCTTCGTCATACAACGATTTTATAAAGATGTACTCACTTCGAGCCTAAAATTTATGTGCATAATTTTTTTGAATTTGCAACAATGTGAGTCTATGAATAGATATATTTAATAAAATTTATAACAGTCATAAATAATCCATTCAAACTGATTTTTTTTGAATCTGGATAGCTATTTAGAATGTTCCAACTTCAATAGGTAATGG